CGAGTTCGAGTTTTTTGTCCCATTCGAGGCGGGCCCCGTCGAGACGGGATAGGACGGTTCGAGTTTTTTTGCCATCACTAAAAATAAATATATATAAAAAGTAAGAAAAGAATTAAAAATAGAAAAACAAAATAGTTTTTCCTTATCCAATTCCTCACCCGGCCATTGGCTACCACCACCACCCACAAATTTAACAATTTTTCTATAATCAAGTTTCATGTTCAATACATTTTTGTTTTCAGCGAAGTCATACAAGTTTTTTTAGGGATTTGGATTTTTTCAGCAAATTCTTGTTTCTATCTTCTTCTTGTTAACACATACACACATATACATATGCCACTGCATTGACTTTAAATTTTTCTTGATTTTGTTCAAGTTTATGGGATTTCTTGTTCCATTAGAGGGTTCGTTCGAGATCTTAATTCAAATTCCAAAACTAACTATTAAAATTCAAACCCAACTAAGAGAAGACGAATTTTTTTGGAGGGGGGAAGATGAATTTTTTTTTTTTAGTTAATATGTTTTAAATTATTTTAAGTGGAACTCGTTTGCATTATTTGAAATATTAGGACTTTGAGTATTGTTATCTAGTTTTTATATAATTTCTTCATTTCCATTTATTTATTTAAAGAGGAGGTAAATTAATTATTTTACAATACTTTAATTGAAAAAAATAGGCGATAAGGACTTTTTGAGCAATGAAGGCAAATGATAGGAATGTTTGTTGAATAAAGGTAATTGAAAGTAATGTTTTGCACCAATTACCTATGTTTAATAGAGGGAATTGATAGAATGAGATGGAAATGACTAACTATGCAAGAAAAGACCGTATTCAGGGTATAAATGTCAAATTTGAAACAAAAAGGAACGATTTGCGAAATAAATGCAAATAATCAGGATGTTCTGTGCTAATTACCCATTGTTTAAACCTTTAAAATTAAAGGATGTAAATAGCGTTAGCTATTGATTTTTCGTTTGTAAACGTTGCGTAAATCGTCCATATCGTTTTAAATTTGACAATTACACCCTCATTTTAACAGTTTCATGTGGATTTGGTCCTTTTTGTTTTATTTTGTCATTTCTTTCTGTCAAATATGGATAATTTGTGCGAAATGTCCCTATTGTATTCCTTTATTGGGCAAACACTGTGCAAAAAATCCTTAGCATCTATTTTTTCCATTGTAATATTAATAATTTACCCTCATCTTCAAATAAATTTTTAGGTTTTGAAGAATTACAAACGAATATTAGGTAAAATAATCTAAAACACACTAACAGAAGAAATTTATTTCATCTTTCCAATTAACCTAGCCCTAGCCCTATCCCTTACCCATCCTCTAGTGTCCACCACAACTACCAAAATAATTAAAAAGAGAAATAAATAGGGATGGCAACGAGGGCAAGTTCGGGGCAAGGCGCCCCCACCCCGCCCGCCCCATCTCACACAAACGCTACCCCTTCTCGCTCGGTGCCCTGCTTCGCCTTAGATGGGAGGGAGTGGGGCACGTGATGGGGAGGTGGAAGAGATTTTTTTTTTTTTAAATTTCTTTTCTCTTTTATTTTATTTTTGGTTTTTTAAATTATTTTATTTTATGTATATAATAGTAAATTTACCGTTTTACTCATTTCAATTTGTTCAAAATTAGTCAAAGTCCACCTTCCTTGGTAAACTAACGGTCAACTGGATGGTTTATATCTATTTAGAGCTTAGATTCATATTTTTGAAAGTTTTGGAACTGTGGATGACACAAATTAAAAGTTAGGTAAAGTATGCAAAAAGTGAAAGGCTAGGGACCGCTGGTACAATTTTTCCTAATTCAAATAACGTACATTTGGCTAAAAAATACATAAATTCATTTATCTTAATTTAGATTATCCGTTCATATGTCCACATGCCAGTCTATTTTTCTATTGACACAGATTGTCAACTATAAAGAACAAATCATGTCCATGAGTAAGAGTTGATTTGTGGCCACGCAACACATGGCGTTAGGACTAACATGACAAAGATAAATGAAAAATGCGATCATTCATAAAAAAGAATACTGCAAATTTTAAGAGTTAATTATTCATTAATTCACCATATTATATCAAATAATTGATCTCGATCGACAAACTCGTTGATTCAAATTTGAATACAGAGATTGAATTGGAAGG